ACTGGTCTCTGCTCTAGTTGAACTGGTCTCTGCTCTAGTTGAACTGGTCTCTGCTTTACTTAGGACTCCTGGGATCCTCGCATGGCAGGTAAATTTTAGCTCACCTGTCCGTCTGATCAGCTCCCAGTTATGGTGGAGCTGTGGTGCAGTTTTGCTACAAAGACGACCCCCAGCTTTATTTGTCTAAACAACAAATGATTCTGGACCTGAAGACCTGGGGGTCCAGCCAGTTTAAAGCTCTGCAGCAGAGATGGATCCCAGTTCTCCTCATTGAGCTCCGTGTTTCTCAGTGAAACCCATAAAAGATGAACTCCATTTAAAAATCTTCATTTCTCTGTTTTTCATAACATTTTTAAAACGATGAGTCTGAAACATTTAAATGAGCAAACAGCTCGTTCTGTGATTCAAGAAGATCTTTGTGTTGTCCAGATGAAGACCGTCTGCCCAGGAGGAAGAGTTTCGTGGACACCATCTCCCTCCAGGTGGACATCATGTCCAGCAGCCTCCCAGATAAGGTTAGCTGCTGAAACAGAAACTAGCGTGTGATGTTCGGAGAACGTTACGACGGCTTGTGCTTTGTTTTCAGTCCCCGCTGGCCGAGGAGATCACCTTTGAGACGCTGAAGAAGGCCATCGGTGAGTCTGGTGCCTTCAAGTGAAAGTTAGGAAGCCCAAACGTCGACAGTGTTGAAGGAAACCAACGTGTAAACTGGGATTGTAAACTGGGATTAAATGTGAATAAATGCGACACGTTTGGTTTCAGACACCACGGGTTTGGAGGAGCAGGAGAGGGAGAGGAGGCGTCAGGTGATGGAGAAGTTTCAGAAGGCTCCGTTTGAGGAGCTCGCCGCTCACTGCGAGTCCAAGGTAGAACATCCAGACATGTGACCGCTGAAGCTTCTCAACCTCAACCTGAACCTTTTTATTTCATCAGGCGAACCTGCTGCACAACCGTCTGGCACAAATCTTTGAACTCACCATCCGGTGAGTCTTCATGTCCCAACTTTACTTCCTGGATGAGACTCGTGTTTTCATAATTTACATTAATTTATTGTGTAACTGTGACGCTTAAATTCTCCGAAACTACGTGACAAATAAAACTTCAGCTGATGAGATGTTTTAATTCACTGTTCCTCCTGAAATACATCAAAACGTTACGACTGGTAACGATTATATATTCTTAGATCTTATCACCGTTTTTCTTTATACTGGTGTTGATGGAACTGGGACTCTGTGACAAACGTTTGTTCCACCACACGAGATGTGAATGACAAAGAAACTTGGACTTTATATGACTTGAACAAATTTCAGTAAATCCTGTCTGAAGCTCGACAGCTCAGAAATACTTCACAGAAACTCTGTGGCGTCCCTCAAGTCTCAGTCTTAGGCCCTCTGCTAAGAAAACAATGTTTCTTTCCATGTTATGCAGATGATGGTCAGATTTATGAACCTTTAAAAAGACCAACATGTTTTCGGTCCTCAGTTACTTCTGGTCAAACAAACGTTTTTTTTTACAGAATCTCAGTTTACGTTTAAATTTAGGGCGATAACGTCACGAACACTGAAGCTAAACTTTCTGTAAACTTTACATTATTTTTACTAAAAAAGAAACTTTTACTATAGTAAGGTTCATCATCTTTTTTCTCAGCACGTTAAAATTTAAATACATTCCATCATGAACTCACATTTTTATCTTTAAAACTCTTATTTCATATTTACTAAAATTAAAATTGTGGATACAAAAAACATTTCTAATACGGTTTGTGGCTCGCATCAGTTTCTTGTTCAGTTGGCGGGAATCACCATGGCAACCAGTGCCTCAGTCTGCTGAGTCACTGGATCTTATTACATCATGGCTGCCCCCGTTAATCCTGCAACATGTGAGCAGTTATGTCCTGATTAAAACTTTAAATTTAATATTTAAAATAAAAAATAACTTACAGGGCTAACCTGGAGTTTCAAATTAAGAGTTTGGTTCTATACTATTGTTAAATATAAATGTCCTGCATTACGTTTGTACTTTATGGTAATATCTCAGACAGCAGCTCCTTTAAACCATTTTAACTAATATTTTGATCTCTCCCCCCCCCCCCCCTCCCCAGGCCTCCGCCCAGCCCGTCCGGAGTGGTCTCCATCTCTGCAGGACACGCCCAGCACCCGTCCGTCCCCGTCTATGAGATGAAGTTCCCGGACCTGTGTGTGTACTGAACACGGCTAACACGCTAACACGCTAACAACAAGGTCACCTTCAGCCCCCCCCCCCCCCCCCCCCCCCCACATCGAGCTTTTCAAACTCCTCCATCGTCTCTGAAGATGAACTGAGGCAGCGAGAACATCCTGAACTTCAGCTCAACGTCACGTCGCTTCGAGCTTCGCCTCAAAACGAAGCCGTTAGAAATTCTTAGGCCTAAAGCTCAGATTGCTGATCTCTGCTGCTGATCTCTGCTGCTGATCTCTGCTGCTTCGTCTGTAGACCTTCAGATTTGTTGCCGGTGGTAGGTTGCACTTTAGTGTTCGCTGGTTCTGTTTGTTCCAGTCGCTCTTGTTTGTCTCCAGATGTTTCATCTGGAGGTCCAGCTGTGATCTGAGAACAAAAGTTTTGAGATTTTAGAAACTCGTTCAACGTTTGTGATTATTTACTGGTTTTACACATTTGGGCTTGAAGTCATTGGACTGGGACTGTTGGAGACACAAATGTCTCTGGCAGTGTCTCCATGTCTCCATGTCTCAGTTTCAAACGCTCCCAGAGCGACTGTTGGGAGCAGCAACTCACAGAAAGAAGAAAAACTCCTGAACATTTTGAAATAGTTCATAAACTCCTGCAGTTTGTAAGAGTCAGTTCATTAAAAACAGCCGAACTTCTTCTTCAGACGTAGACAGGAAATGATGCACCAGCACGAAACGAGCTTGAACCCTCCTGCTGCCCTGACCCCTGACCCCTTTAACCCAAGGGCAGCAGGAGGGTTCAAACCAGCAATACCACTGATGGCCACTAGAAAAGGATTCTTCTGTAATAAAAACTGAAGCCGAGGGATTTTATCTGCTGGTTTAAATTTTTTTTTTGTAAAATCATGATCTTTAGCTGAATCAGTGGCTAAATAGTAGCTAAAGTTGTGAAACGTGCGATCGTAGGAGTCACACATTTTGTCTCAATCGTATCGTGTCGCTGTTTGGTGGAAACTGAGTTCTTTATTGTCTGTGTTCCAAATAAGTTTTAGCTGATCATCAGCCGAGTATCAGCCGAATGTAGGAGGAATGTTCGTTCACTTAATCATCACCAGCGTAGAATCAGCTCTGCATGTTTTCTGTTTGAGCAGGAGCTAAATATCTAAACATGCTGTGAAGAAATAAAAAATCTAAAGTTCTGGACCCGGGACGATCAGCCGAAGGCCCGTCTGAGCCGAAGGTGTCGACCCGCAGCCAATCTTATATTTTTGTACATTTTCTGTGTCGTGGTGTTGAAGCGATGCCTGGAAGAGATTTGAGGCGTTCATGGGCGTAAATAAAAACGTTTTGTTTACAGGTGTGATCTGTAAACAAAACACTTGTTTACAGATCACACCTGTAAACAAAACACTTGTTTACAGATCACACCTGTAAACAAAACGTTTGTTTACAGGTGTGATCTGTAAACAAATGTTTTGTTTACAGATCACACCTGTAAACAAAACACTTGTTTACAGATCACACCTGTAAACAAAACACTTGTTTACGCGCCGCTCCGAGGAGAAACGGTGGATGTTTGTAAACGTAGAGTTTCTTTTATCGCTTCGTGTTCATGTCATGTTTGTTGATCTGACGGTTTTCCGGCTCCTGTTGGTTCCTTCAAACGTTTCATTCAGTTAAATTAAATTAAATTAAATTAAAATAAATTAGAAACTTCTTTTACATGAAAAGGTTCTGAGTCCACCGAGCCGTTTCTATTGAACAGGGAAAAATAAGGTCCAGACCCGGTCCAGCTGCTTGTAGAACCTCCTTTATCGTCTCTCTCGTGGTTGTGGAGGGTTCTGTCCCGCTCTTCTTTACATCGAGGTTCTGGACTCTGACTGGACCTTGGTTCTGTTGTAGATCAGTTGCTCTGGTCCTGTGGGACCCGGTTTGGTCCCTGAATAAACGACTCGGTGGACTCGGTCGTGTTTTGGGTCGTTTTGTTCTGTAGAACCATCAGAACCGGATCCTGAGGAGACGAAACATTTCAACAAGGTTTGCACTTTAAACTCTCTGGACCCGGGTTCTGAGATGGACGGGTTCGGTCCAAACGGATCAGAAATGTTTTTGTTCTGCCGGTTCTGGACCCATGATCCGGGTTGAAACTCAGCTGAACCCAGTCAGGACAGTTTTCAGAACCAAAACTGACAAATTATAGTTTTGGGTTTGTTGTCTGTGGACCCGGTACCGGCCCGTTTGGTACCGGCCTTCAGTTTGAATCACAAGCTCGGATCAGTTTGAGGTCCCAGAACCTCCGTGTGAAATAAAAACTCTGTTCAAGATCCAAATAAAGTTCTGAGTTCTTCTCTGGACCCTTTGTCTGTGGTGTTACTGGTCCTGCTGGTTCTGGTCCGGTCCTGGTTGTGGGTTGAGTGGAGGAGGAGGAGGGTTCAACTCTTCATCACATTATTGATTCTCAGTAAAACTTGCAGCCGACGTCTGGATTTGATTAAAGGTTGAAAGGTCCTGCTCCGGTTCTGCCGGGTCGGCGCCGTGCGCTCCACGGTGGTTTTATGGCTCGAGGTTCTGGAACATCTGAAGCTCAGAGAGAAAGATGGATCGAGCCGGACTGCGCTGCTGCGGAGGTCGAGCAACATTTGTAAAAGACGCACAAATCACCTGCTGCGGTCGGATCAACTTTCTTGACGCTCCAGATTCACAACGCTGCGTTCAAGGCTGGTGAAAAGCTGGGACATCTGAGCATCAAGCTACTTTTAGCTCGTCTTCTTCACCTCTGCTGATTTACTCAAAAGTTTTGTTGTTAAAGTTTTAACTTTTCACTGCCGTGACAAAATAACTCCAATCAGTAAAATATCTGTTCGGCTACTCTCAGCTTTACCAAAACAAACATTCGGCTGCTCTCAGCTTTACCAAAACAAACATTCGGCTACTCTCAGCTTTACCAAAACAAACATTCGGCTACTCTCAGCTTTACCAAAACAAACGGCTACTTCCATGCTAACTTTTAGCTCGGTATATTTAAGTTGTAGCCGAGAGTCGTTCTGTGACGGCAGGAGAGCTAAAATTAAAGATTTGACCAAAACGACTCCTTCAGTTCAAAACTTCAAGGATTCAAAGGCTTTTAATTTGAAATGCAAAAGTATTTCAAATTAAAGTCCCTCGTATTAACAGATGAGAGCAAATTAAACTCATTTATATGAAAATAAACATTTGGCTTCCTGCGGCTCGTCTTCGGCTCACTGAACCTTCAGCTGATTAATTAGAGCTGTGCGTCGTGACCGTTTAAAGGTCAACAATTTATTTAAATACGTCTTAAAAATGTTCTCACGGGTTCTGAGCTGCCTCCAGGTTCTGGACAGAAGACGGAGCTCAGAGGACGAGTTGAGGACAAACGAAGCGAGACGTTTCACACATCAGCTGCAGGTCGACGACTCGCCGAGTGGCTGAAAAGAAAAAACCACGAAGGAGACGAAAATAATTAAAGTTTAAACTCTTCAGAGAAAATTTCACCTCCTTCGTCCAGACAAACGTCTCTTTCAGTCTCGTGTCTCTCATGGTTCGACTTCATCCAGAAGTCCAACTTCCTTTGGTTCCTTTAAATGCAACAGCTGAAGTGGACCGAAGGTCTTCGTAGGGGGTCCATGTCCCCGCTGCCCCACCTGGGTCTCTGGTCCGGCAGAGAGTCTTTGTTCAGCTGGGTTTTGGATCAAATGACTGGTTTGATCCTCAGATTAATGACCGTAGATGGGGGGGTACTGTGATGGACAGGTGGGGACTCTGAAGGTCAGAGGTCACGTCCAGCACAGGAAGTGGGTTAAAGGAACACCTACAGAACCAGCTGTGGTCTTGATCCAACATTCTCCAGACTTTCTGAAGGTCTTTGTAAGGGTTGTGGACTTCAGCTGTTCCTCCTGCAGGTTTTAGCTCCTGCAGCTGAAGAACAAAGTCCCCGTTTCAACGTTTGATACGTTTACTTTGTTCGTACGTGAATAAACTCTGGGATCTACGAATCAATGGTTCTGTTTTGATTTACGTTCTACACGACGACGCAGCTTCGTCAAAAGTTCGAGAAATGTTTAAAAACTTTACGAAGTCCGACGGTCGCAGACGATCCTGCAGAAACCCGACCCGGGTCCAGTCCTGATGTTTATAAATCGAGCGGGGGTCGTCCCTCGATGCTCGACCTTTACAGACGATCAGACGACGTCGTTAAAAAGAACAGTTGCTGTTTTGTTGCACGACTATTATGGGATACTCTTGTTCATGGCTAAAGGACCCGGTCTGCTCCTGCTAGGCGTGAGAGCGGCCATGACGGTTCTGAGCCGTCTGGGGGGGTTATGATGGTGGGTGGGGTCAACGTGTGGCATGAAGAGACCCCACCTCCATGAATTACCACCCGGTGGAGAAACGATTTGGACCTCACCGCCCGGTACCAGAACCTCACGGGAACCGCCGCCGGAGGAACGATCGTCAAATCATTCAAGACACGGAACAAACACCAGTTTAACCGTTCGCAGGTAAAACTATTTATTTATTTATGGGACTTTTCTGATGCAGAGTTTAAAAATAAAAACTTTTTTTTTACTACAAGTTTTTAAAATTTTCTACGTTTTTCCAAACAGACTTTGATTTGAAGGTGAAGTTTCTGTTGAATCAGATTAAATGTTCGGGGATTCAGTCAAAGCCCTCGATGCTCCTGAGTGTTCCAGATGTTTTCCTGTGGTCGATGAGGAGCGGCTCTTCGCTTCCCTCGTCTTCCTCGGCGGTCACAGCTGGTTGCACATCTTGGACAGACATCTCTGTTTCAGATCTGCGGAGAGAAAACAGAACAGACACCGGAGGAAGGTTTTATGTGGGAATAAAACGTCAAATTAGGAATAAAATTAAAATCCTGCAACAAAAACTGGATTTAAAAACAGCGGGGACAAATTTTATATTCTGGAACCGGACCGACCTCCACAGCACTGAAGCACCACGACAGACAAAACGCTGTTGTTTCTGATTTACAAACTTATTTCTGAGTTTGGCGGTTTCAAAGCTAAAGCTCGAGCCAACAGTTAAAAAAGTTTTTATCTTCTGATAAAGTTTTGTTTGATTTTAGATCAGCGAGCTTTAAATGTGTGATTTAATAAAACGTTACATCCACTATAAACAGGAGACAGAAAGATACTGTATGCTCTTTAGTTTTTTTTAAATAATGACGCACGAACATTGCCATTTTTACATTGCAATGCATTCTGGGTAAATGGTGGAGACCAGTTGCGGCGGTGAGAGCTCCATTCAGCTTGAAGGTTTTAAGTTTTGAACATCATTTGATGTTCAGCCCTTTAATTTGAGCCGGAGCAAGTTAAACGCAGAAATGACTCCACTTTAGCTCCGGCGCGAACAGCATAAGCTCAAGAGCTAATAAACAGTCACATGACGTTAGCACGTTAGCTCCGGAGCGCTAACTGATTGGTAATGAAGTTGATCACGTTTGATTCGACCCAGATGTTTAGCGTAAGGACCAACTATTGTCACATGTTCTAACTTTAGTCGTGACTCCGTGTGTTTTAGTCTCCACTACAACTGAAGTCCGTCAACGTCCCAAAATGCATTGCACTAGTTAAATAATGGTGACGCCTTTAAGTGAAAAATGTAATAAAAATAAATATTTTTTAAAGTAATTAGCAGTGTTCAGGTGTCTCAACAACTTTTCATAGAGAAATAAATGTGCAAATAGTCAGACATCCCAAAGTTTATTATCCTGAACCAGCACAACCTTCACAACACCCTCAGTGACGGTACATTTTTATAAGTCTGTTTTTAAACCGTTATTAAAAATAAGAGCCCGGCCGCTCACAGAGTTGGTCACCTGCTGAAAGTGATGAACTTCTGGGTTCACTTACTTCTGGAGAAAGAGACCCTCTTGACTCGTCGGCAGACCTCCAAGGTGTGGGTTTCGTACCAGCGATGGCTGTCGTCACAGTAACTGTCCGAAAAACCAGAGCCTGGATCAGCCGAGCGTCACGTTCAGGTCAGAAACAACTTTCTGTTTGTTGTTAGTAAAGAAGACGATAAATAACTGAGTAACTTGTAAAAAGTCTGAAGAGTGGCAGAGCTGCCATTCACAAATCTAAAATACATTTATTTTATAAAGCAACAGAGGCAGAATTATTTTGAAACTTATTCCTGGAATTTTTTTTGTTTGTTTTAATTCTTTTAGATATTAAATGCTTAATTCAGATTTTCGTCAAATGTTTTTTTTAAATGTTGTAATCGGGTCATATTTGTTCAAAACCTACAGGATTTACAAGGGCGGCCATGACAAAATGATGATCATACACAAAGGAAGAACCTGTTGAAAAGCCACTTCCATTTTCCTTCTCTGCTCAGTAAAAAGGCGGGAATCACCATGGCAACCAGTGACAGATTCTATAGAGTTACCAGTTGCTATGACAATTCCCGCCTCTTTTAGGAGCAGAGGACAGTTTGTTGAAGCTCAATTTAAAGGCTTTGTTTGAGCGGGAATCACCATAGCAACCAGTGTCTCAGAGTCACTGGTTACCATGGTGATTCCCGCCCCTTCTTGTTTGGTAGAGAAGAGAGCAGCATACAGTACTCTTCAACGGACATGTCAGAAATACAAATCAAGTCGTTCAAAATGTATCAATTGTATCGAAAACATCTGAACTGAGAGGCAGAATTTTCTGGTTCCATCTGTGATTTTATAAAAGATGTTCTGAATTAAAACAAAGTTTAAGAGCGCCGTCACTAAACGGAACTTTTTCTGGTAAAATCTCCTGAAAATAATAAAATAAATTGTGATTGTGTAAAAACTGTTAAAGAAGCCAAAGATCTGAGTTTAGGCCAACTTCCTGTGACCCGTTTCAACTTTAGACTGAGTTTTTTAACTCGTTTCACCGTCAGCGTGTGTGTGTGTGTGTGTGTGTGTGTGTGTGTTAGTAAACCGTCCTTTAACCCAGTTTGCAGCTCATTTTGCCCAAAGTTTCAACCGTTATTGATCGTTTCTTTGCACGTTTCAAGCGGACGGTGCAGAGCTGTGATGTTAAAGTGTGAAAACCTCTGGAGGCGCGTCTTCTGGCTGAACGCTCGGCAGAGACACTGGGAGAAGAACCTGCAGAGCTCCAGGACGCAGGGCTGCAGCTTGTGAGCGCCGAGCGTCATCGAGCCGCCGCTCCGTTCTGGACGTCTCCAGGGACAACCTCTCAACAGACACAGACGAGTCCATTAACGAGTTCTGGCACCAGTTACACTTTTGAACAGTTTTTCTTTAAACCAGATCTTTGAGGCTGAACCCGTCCAGAAGGTGCTGAATCACGTTCTGAGCAGCTGCAGAGCAGAGGCGTTCATTCAAACAACCACAATCACCTTTTTATTAAATTCTGACGTGATCATCGGGAAATATTTCATTTTACAAACATCGTTTAGAAAGTTAAATCCCCCACTATAATCTCTGTTAATCTGATACCGTATTAGAGCTAATTAACATAAAAACAGATTTAAATTAGTTCATTGATGCTTCAGTCCTTTTCTGAACTATTTTTCTAAACGTGCACGGAGGTCAGAGCACGCTGAGGCGCCGAGAAATGAAACAAAAACGCACCACAGGGTCACAATGGGTGTTATCAGGTAGTTGCTGGAGCGTCAGACACAGACCACGCCCCCCAGACTCGTTAAGACGGCTCCACCAGGTCAACAGAGGCCGACGGGTCACGTTGCTGTTAGCATGAGGTCCGGTGGTCAGAACTTCCAGCTGCCCAGAACGTGCGCGTGCAGATAAACAACAAGTGTGGCGGCCATCTTTAAATTTTTATTCACCTACTAAACTTCAGCTGCAACAAAAACGGCTTCAGCTCAGTTTTACAGATGGTGCTAACAGCCGATGGTAGTAGCTGAGAGTCGCGTCCGACTTGGACTTTGAAAACAAACATTTTAAATACGTTGGTTTAAAACTCGGAGGTGGCGGGTGATGAGCAACTTTTAGATAAAAACAAGACGACGTGTTCATTCAGCTCATATTCAGCTCACATTCAGCTCATATTCAGCTTTCTTCTTCAGAACACACACAAACTTCCATTTATTTGAAGTTTTTATCCGTTTCTTCAGTAATTCAACGGCTCAGTTTGTGTAATCTGATTTCTTTTGAGGCTTTCAGGCGACCTGCATGAATTTATGAGGTTGTACTGGATCCGTGCTCCTGGTTCCTCCTGGTTCCTCCTGTCAGCCTCTTCTCGTCCACGCGCCTCCTAATCGACCGCGGACCGGACCGACGAGCGCTCGTTTCGCCGCAGACCAATGACTCAGTGATGAAGTGCTGGTTGCTGGTTGCTTGTTGCTGGTTGCTTGTTGCCAGGCAAAGCGAGGGGCAGCTGATGGTGGGCGGCGCGGCGCTACCGCCACCTGGTGGTTCTGCTGGCAGGAACAGGGCCGGTACCGAATTAATTAATTAATTAATCCAACACGTCCTTCAGCTGTTGAAGCGTTACGAGTTAAAAACGAGTCAAAACTGGTTTTTGTCTTTTTATTGATCATTTGATCACGTTTCTGTTTCAGGAGACGAATGTTTCATGTTTTCAACCTGCAGCTCTGACTGCACCTCCTGTTGCCATGGTTACCGTCTCCCGCATCGCCTCGATCGCGCGCAGACACACAGATTACCCCACGCGCACACCCCTTCCCCCCGGGGGGCTCAGATTGAATCAGCGGCCGGCGGCGAGCCCAGAACCGGCGGTTCTGATGTGATTACGGGTCAGATGGAGCCGAGCTGCTCGGCGTGAGGCGCCGTGACTCTTGAAGGACAAAACATGTAAATGTTTGAGCTCTAATCTAAACGTCCTGATGCATGCTCAAACATTTAGATAATCTAATCTAATCTAATCTAAACGTGTTTCTAAAACATTTTATTATTCAACACAAAGAGCCCGAGGCGGAAATTAACGACAAAAACGATCAATTTTAACATTTTACGACGACGACTTAGTTTTTATGATTTGAACTGGGTCCAGTTCTTCACATTAATCATCTGCTGGGAGTCCTGGAATTTTATGACTTTCAGTTATTCAGGAGGGAAATAAGTTTTTTGTTTTTTTAAACTGTTGAAGGACATTTAATTTTAAAGTTCCACGTTTCTGTTTTTTTGTTTTAATAGTTTGTGGTGATTTTGTTGAGAAGAAGTCAAATGTGTCCTTTGGTAAAACCAACATGATTATTTTACATTAACACATTATTCTTCATTAATCTCATTAAATCTGTGCGCTGTTTAAGGAGATATTTTGCTAACACACGACGACTCCGACTTCCAGCTGCTACTTTCTCAGGGTTTCATTAGATTCTAATAAATATTTGATATTTAGCTCAAAGAAACGCAGGCGGAAACATTATCGCCTGCGTTTCAACAGATCTTCACCTGGTTCCTCGGGTTCCTCGGACCCGCTGCTCGTTGTGGTTCTGGTTCTGATCGGAGTCGTCTGCTTGTCCGGGGCGGTGTGTCGGGTCGGTTCCATCGAGCCAATCAAAGGTGAAAAGACTTCAGGAGGTTCTGTGTCCAGGTGTTCAGGTGTACTTTTGATGGTTGTTTCATCTGTAGCTCCAGTCAGAATTATTGTTGCAGCTGGTCCGGTCTCTGGTTGTGTCGTTCGGTTCAGTAGTGTTAATATTCTTTGGGTCGTCCATGAAACTGTCGTCTCAGGCCTTTGGACCGTAGACCGATGTGGAGAGGTGGAGTTTGTTGAACGTTGAGGTTTCGTGGTCGCCTCAGAGGTCGTGACCTTTGCTGTTGTTGCAGCTGGTCCGGTCTCTGGTTGTGTCGTTCGGCTCAGTAGTGTTAATATTCTTTGGGTCGTCCATGAACCTGTCGTGTCAGGCCTTTGGACTGTAGATGTACGTTGAGACGTGGCGATTGTTGAACGTTGAGGTTTCGTGGTCGCCTCAGAGGTCATGACCTTTGCTGTTGTTGCAGCTGGTCCGGTCTCAGGTTGTGTCGTTTTTCTCAATGGTGTTGATATTCTTTGGGTCGTCCACGAACCTGTTGTCTCGGGGCTTCGGACCGTAGACAGATGTGGAGAGGTGGAGGTTGTTGAACGTTGAGGCGTCGTGGTCGCCTCAGAGGTCGTGACCTCGGCTGTCGCAGCAGATGTTCTGCTCCGACTCGGAGAAGCTTATTGTCCAAAAGAACCAACAAGAACCACGTGAGCAGCAGTTCACTGAAACATCAACACAGTAACAAATGATACTCGTGAAGTCTAAAGGTTCTCTACACAGGTGAGACCAAGGGACCGAGCAGAACTCTGGTTCCCTGCAGACCCACCGAGCGCCGTGGACAGGACCCTGCTGGTCGACATGGAGCCGTGGCTTCGATTCGTGGGCGGCTGGTGCCAATCTGAGGATGGAACAGAATCTGAGGATGGAACAGAATCTGAGGAT